TTCTCATTAACAGATAAAATATAAAACAAAATATTTCTCATCTTTGGAATGTAGCATATGTTTATTATAAAAATAAAGATCATATTATAGCCACTCCATTCACATAAAAAGCATCCTATAACCTTTAATTGCAGTTTCTTCTATGTCAGCCCCTGCCCACTAAATGCAGCTGTCTACGCTTTCATAAGTAAGACTCATAAAAAGCCATTTCACAGAAACATCATTGCTGAAACTTATGATTTAAAACAGGCCATTACTTCAATATATTCTATTTAGCATTATAAAGACCATCTACATCTCAGGAGTTGATAATTGGCAGCAATTATCCACCTTATTAACTGCTACTATATGGGAAAAAAACCCCAGAAAATTTAGATTCCCGCATATATTGAACTTCATGTCATAAGAAAACTAAGGCTGACATTCTTTTATGGGATGAAGGAGGATCATTGGGGCACAATAAAGAAAGACTAAAGTAAACTAAAGTAAACTGCTACATCCTGTACAACCTCATCCATTTCAGCCATTGTAATTCAGTAGTCATGTATATCTACATTTTCAGCATTGTTTTTTATCACTCAAAAAGTTTCAATCTTTTGCTCGCTGAGAGTTTGGATTACAATCATCCCTTATTTAGATGTGTCTCTGTCTGGAAGGAACAGGAGTTTTCTCCCACATTTCTGATGAGGCAAAAGCTAGCTATTTTTTCCTTACTTATATGCACCAGTTCTTACACTAGCATCTTTTAACAGAAGGATGCAGGATCAGTAAGATGTGCCAAATTCATTTATGCGAAGCAACTCCATTCACTAAAATAAGTAAACCAAAACCCCCATAGTTAATATTTTCTATTTTGTTCATGTAAATAAATCTCATCACAAAATCAAGTCTAAATGAAGAACAAGTAAGTAATTCAGTTTAGATACAAATATACTAAAAATGAGAAAAATTTGCATAACATCTTAGCATTTTGAAAGATTTTACAGGAGGATTACATTAATATACCTAAGCTACTTAAAGGAGTGATTGAACTTTTCAAAATGCAAACATATTTCAAATTGAACAGACTTCCATTTGCACTACAGACTTGTTGCACCACAGCATTTCAAAGTGAGCATGGTACCATGTGTGACTTTAAAGGAAAAACTGAAAATGAAAAGTCAGGAGGACTCCTCAAAACTCCTTCCCCAAAACTGGATCACAAACAAAAGCAAGCTTCCAATAATGTGATAGATACACAAACCTTTTCACAAGCTTGGTCATAACAACAAAACAAGGACATAAATATTGTTCATCAATTTCTTTTTGTGGGAGAAGGAAAGAGACTCTTAAAGTAAAGATAATTATCTTTTCACTGTAATTTACTGCACTCATTGATCAACGAATGGAAAACAATGCTTGCTTTTGTACAGTTTGTGGAGTCATATAGTATTTCTGGAACTGAGAATTTTCTCCATAACACATCTATTTGTTAGTCGAAACAAATTCTACTAAAGCCAAGAGAGAGGCTATGTTGCTTTGAATGTTTTTTTCTGTATTTAAACATGCAACTTCAAACAGCAAGTGCTGGTATCAGCTTTAAACCTGAAATTAACCTTTTTGTCAATATTAGTGCCTACAGTTTTTTTCCCTATTATACAAGCACATGGGTAACATAAGAGACCAGATATCACAACCTGAACTGCTGAAAGATTTTATTATTTATCATTACCTGTGTAAGTACTTTCTGAAACAAGCTGAATTTAAACTTCGCATTTTCTTATGTTTTTTATTGACACTATTAGGATGAAAGATAAACAGCTTGATTTTTTACAATTTGAGATTTAAGCAGATCAATTAAGCCTTCAACCCAAATGACTATCAGACAAATAAAAATAATACCAGCTGAAATACAAGCAGACTCACCAGTTCTGGTTTGTACTAAATCTTGGGGAGTCAGGCAATGGCTGTACCACTTTTTTTATAGCCAGAGCACTCAGCACACCTTGTCAGCTGAAGTGGCTATTTCATGTCCAAACCATGATCCTCAAAAATCAACTTACACTGAGTATTGCAGTGGACTGCAGATATGATACCCATGATAACAAACTGTGCCTCAAAATGAGGTACTGGTAATGCTGAAAGTGGAGATGTGTGCTCTCAAGAGCACTGCTCTGATTTATGAAAAGCTGCTGTTCCCAAAACAGATTCTCTCCATAAAAATCCATGCCACACATCTTATCTTATAGGAAAGTTTTGGCTGTAAAGGATCAGAACTAATTTTTAAAAGAGCTCACTTTCTGTCTCAGCAACATTTTATGGCAATTGTTTTGTGAAAGCACAGGTTGCTATCCAGCCTCCAACAGCAGAAAAAGGGGGAAAAATTAAAGAAAGCTTGCTTTTAGTGCTTCTTTTCTTGCTTTGTCTACTAATGTCTGTCCATTAAATAATCTGTTGAGCATTTAGAAAAAAATTCTGGTGCTGGGATCAGGTAATGGAATGAGAAGAGAGTTCATCAGCAGGAACAGCACAGTCCCAGCCATTCTGGCACCCAGTTTGCCCAGTTCAAAAAGATGGGAGCCATGGCACCAGCAACTGCCTTCTCTCTGTGCATCCTGATCATCACAAAGAACATTAGGGAACGTTTATTCTGTACATCCACCCAACTCAGATATAATCTCTGGCTATTATCCAAGAATCACCTACATCTGCTTAAATTCCCCTCACAATCCTATGGATTTTAAGGCTATTGTTTTTGTAGCTTCAAGATAAGAGAGCACTGCAAACTTGGAATTCACACAAACCCTACCAGCACAGCCAGCCGGAAACAGGTTTGGGTTTAGCAAGAACTGCTTGGGAAGCCACAGCAGCAACACTGTTAATGCCTCAAACTAGCCACACTCTTGTGGACAGAAGAAATCCACAAATAACCCATCAATAATGGAAATAACCATTTCATAATAACCAGATCTCATATCTGTGAGATCTGGGGGGGGGGGGGAATCACATACTATAGAGGAAACTGTTTTTAAATGCAGTTATTATGCAAGAACATTGATGGAGCCGACTTCTTCTGAACTTCAATTTGCATTAAAAATATGTAATTTAAAATATGTAATTTTCACTTATTCTTGACAATTACTTAACTGAAACTTGGTGTTTTTTTTGGTTTTTTTTTTTTTTTTTCCTAGGGTATAAGAATGGAAATGTCAGGAGTGTTACTATGAGTAAAATAAACAGATGACAGCATTGAATTCCTCTGTCTCCTCATGTTCTGAATCATTATTAGGAATCCACACTAATTGCATTTCATTTTGCCTGACAGCTTTTATATGATACTTTTTTCTTGTTGGGGTAAAGAAAACAACACACAAAATCAACTGAACAACAAAGCAAATGTCTTTGAATACAACGAAATTCCAAAAATTTAGATAAGGACTTAGTAAGAAATTAGTAAGAATCTTTTTATGAAGAAATGAAAACAGATAAAAGTTAATTGAGACCCCTCAAATACTCTCAGGAAACTGAGGATACAACTTCACACCTGATTGTAAAGGTAAGATGCAGAAACTGCCAAGGGCAATATGAAATAGTGACAGAGCATTTCAGCATTCTGGGTTCAAGTCCAAACTCTGAGAAAATATCCAGTAAAACACAACTGGTCTGTTACTAAAACTTGGCAGGCTGAGCTTCAAACATTATCAGAAGTAATTAGAAAAAAAAAAAAAGGAAAATAATTACACAGTCTCCTAGACAAAACAATCTACAAACTCCAAGTTTCTCTCTCAATTGCGATAAATCAATCCTCAATTAAAGAATAATGAAATGGTTTCTCAAATGATCTGGAAGAAGCTTGGCAACACTATCAAGCACCTGAAAGGTGCTATCTGTTGATAGCAATGTTACAATTACCTACAAAAGGAAACACATCAGTGCTTAAGGAGAGCACAGGCTATGGGTTTAAGCTTATTTCCTCCTGCTGTCAGGGTATTAAAAGATCTTTCATCCTATTTTGCAGCCTTTGTAAGTGTATCTTCCTTTTGTGGTCACATGCTGATATTCTGGACTGCTTCTCTCACCTTGATTCACCCGGCTTTAACAAACAAATGCACTGGACACACAGGGATGCAGTGATGCTGGCATTTCATGTTGGTCTAAGTAAGAACATTTCTTTTATTTCCAGCTTTGATATTGGCACCAAAGCAGAAATTCTTGCTATATAAACTAAATATTTACACTCAGTCCAAGTGAGGTTACACCTACTTATTCATGCAAGGGCTCCATCTCAGTGTGTGCCACACTTAAGAAGAAAACATGGAAAACAAAGAAATGTCACCTACTGAGTATTTTCTACCTTACAAACAAATGGGGGAAATATCAACAACGCTGTCAGTAAAAAAAGCTTCACCCCTAATGCTCCTTCTACAGACATATGTTTAATCATAAGCAGTTCATGAAAAGAGACTAAGTGAGCCAGAGGAGCAACATATATAACTGAATATTTAGTGCTTTGATATTCTTTTGGAAAGCATGCCATTTCAGATTGCTACAAATCCAGAATAGTTTCTTACAGCTAAAAATATCCTGCTGCATGAGATATTTCAAACATATTAAACACAGTTTGAAAAAAAACAATAGCTTCTCCAAGAATAAGAATCCAATGAATATATAAAAAGAAAAGTCACTGATTGTTAGAAGTTCTAAAACCCTCCAGCACCTCTTTGGAGTGTGCAGGCAAAAAAAAGATAACAGAATACGTATTTTATGTTTATGTATTTATATGTGTGAGTGTAAAAACATCCTGCAATAAAAGATATATGAAATTCAACTTCAGCCTTGGAATGCAGTAAGCTCTGTAAGTACCAATCAAGAATGCTTTGCTCCATACATCTTCTAGAAGGCTGCTCATTTTCATCTAAGTAATTCAGGGCAATGATTAAGTTTTTCTTTGTATAATTCCTAATACTCCAAAGTTTTACAGGGCATTTATGTCTCCATGAAATATAAGCTAAATTACCTACCTTTCTTCCTGCTAAAAGCACGATTCATGTTGATAAATCTACCCAGTCAATGATGCTTCTGGGTTTGGTTTTTTCCTCCCCACTTCAACCTGCAGAACAACACACATAAGAAAGCAGAAAATCCCATTGTTATTATAGTTGAAGTTCTATCTATCTTCATATTAAAGACACTGCAAATGACCTTAAAAATTCTGAAATAATTCTGAGAAAGCAAGGATGTGCTTTGCTGAGGAAGAAATTTCAGCATTGAGAAGATCTATGTTCAAAACACCCAGAGGTGCTTCATACAGAAAGACATTTTAAGGTTCCTTTAAGCTGTTCTCCCAGAGATTTCAGAGGCACAGAGCAGGTGGCATTATACATATAGATAAAGACAAATACTACACACAAATAGGTTGAAAAGAAAGCTTTAAAATGAATGCTGGCTACAAGACTCCATAAAAACACCCAGTTCACGTTTGCAGTGCCCTGTTTTGTGCCATTTAGACTGTCAGATTATTTCAAGCTAGGTTTTCATCTTCACATGGGCTTGACACTAGGGAAAAAAAGTAAAAATGACAACATATAGAGTCTTCTTCACTCAGGAACTCAATACTGATAAAATTGTCTTCTATCAGTGCTACTGATAGAAGACATTTTCTTCCAATTTCCTCCAATTGTACAATAATTTCTGTATTTTCTTCCCTTAAAAACATGGATCCACTCTTAAATTATTTAATTTTTGATTCACAACACTATTTTTGAATTTTATTATTTACCAACATAAAAAACCCAATAAAATCCACTACACCCAGAACTATTCCACACCATCCCATTCTGCAACACAAAGTTTCTACTTTTACAAACACATGTGAAGATATTGCCATTATAACTTTTCATTCTGTTCAGATCTACCAAGCAGAAGTGTCACCAGTTCACTTTTCATTACAAAAAGTTTTTCTTTCTCCGCTCTCCAAGCAGTCCAGTCAATTAAAAAAAAAAAAAAAAAGGAGAGTAAAAAAACAAAATAAAAAGACTTTGCTATCAGATGATTTTTTTAAATTAACTGGAACAGTAATTTTGCTTTGAGTAAAAACAAAACTTAGGCCAGTGTTTCAATATCAGCATTAAGATAACAAATTCATTTAAGATACTTTATGCAGCTCATGAATGCTTCTTGTGGTGCTTACCCCTCTTTTGCAAGTAAGTTCAATATTAATTAAGGCAATCATATCCAAATTTTCATGTAAATATTTGATACTTTTCAGATTGGAATACATGGGAGATTACTGCTAGGGGGAAAAAACCCAACAAACAACAAACAAACTGAAACAACAAAGCCTCAGTTTTATTTTCCACTAATCACTGATGCAGCAGGACTTCTTCTCCACACAGTCCTGTGAGAATGAAGGAGCAATTCCTCTTTAATTAAACTCAATGCAGCCTGGATATAAAACCAACCATTTGTTCCCTATAGCACAGGTACCAGATCACTGTTTTACAGATTTTACTGAGCATTTAAAAAGGGAGGGCAGGACACAGTCAGCACAGGCAGGAGTTCCCCATGCAGTTTCCATGCCATGATTTTGATGCAAAGCCCAGATGGCATTTGGTGCCCAGCAGTTCAAACAGCAGGGCTGGGGAAGCCTCACCCAGCCCCAGAGCCATCCCTGCCCTCACTGTCATCAGCACCGCACAAACGCTGGGGGTACACGGGGGGCAGTGGAACCAAAAAAAAAAAAAAAAAAAACCAGACCTGTGAGGCCTCTTGAGCCCCAGGAATGGTTGTAGCAGCATCCCTGGAAAGGGCAATGGCATTGCTGGGGGAATTCCAACATGCATCAGCATCTCCACAAAAGCTGAGAATGCACGAGTAGCTCTCCTGGCAGGGCAGGCAGTGTGGGGCTTTCACCAGGGTAAGTGAAGACAATAAACTCAGTTGGCATAGAGTAATAGGGAAGAACATGAGAATTCCAGCTTTTTAAACAACTACAAGTGTGTTTGGCTTACAGGTTTAACACAGGAACCCTATTAGCTATGCTTCGGATATATAAGCAGTAGCACAACTTTGTTCAGGATGTTCACCCTCATGAGTTACCACAGTCAGTTTTGAGTAAAAAAACTTCCTTTCCCCTCTAAGATAGCTCTGGCAGTTGTCTAGTTGTCCTCCATGATGGGATCATAACATGCCCTTTTTCAGAATGCCTTTTTTTGTGTATTCCTGTCTCATCCAAGAGACTGCTAAGGAACATATTTGAGATGGTTACTGCATAGAGCATCTTCTAAATAGAAACTCTGCAGGCACAGGGCAGCTGGCCGGCCACATTTCTAGAGCTCACCATTCAAGTATTTTGTTTAAAACACAGTGTAACTAAGTATATGTTTCTTCCTCATGAATAAGGATATATTACCATTGAAGTAATTTATGCTAATAAAAGCCAAAATTTATTGACTACTTAGCTAAAAATGGCCAGTATTGCCAAAACAATGTTCATAATTTCAATTCCAACAAAACATCAGTAGAACAAAACACAGATGTGGTTTATGCATCAAACGATATCAAAACACTTAATCAGTGTACTTCCACTTCACACAGATGTTATTAAATAGGGAAACAGAATTATCTACATGTAACTGCATTTACAATTCCCTCAAACTCTGATATGAACAACACCATCAACCTCTCAGATGCTGAATTAAATGCTCCATAAAATTTTTCTATCAACAAAAGACCAAGACAAACACTGCCAGGTTCATTTCAATCTCCTCAGTGTGGCCAACCAGACTGGTAAGTTTTCCATCAGAAAAGCAAAGTTATGTTTAGGCATATCCTGCAATATCTTTGTCCACAATATTCCAATGACAAAGAACAAAACTTTTAGGAGCAAGCAAGCTGTTCTCTGGTAATGGAAGGTAGGCAGGTTTCTTGGCAGAAAACAATTGAGTTTCTGACTAATCTCAGCACACCAAACCACTGGAGCAGACCAGTCTGTTAAAAGCTTGTAAAGATCCAAAAGGAAAGCAAGTCAAAGAATCCCATTCTGGTGCAGGGAGCCCTGTGGACAAGGGGAGAGTCCTGCCTTTAAACACTTTACTTGCAAGGTTAAAGCAGTTGTAACAATCAGAGGCATTAGGGAATAGGAATGTGGACCAAGCCATTCCATTACTCATCACTCAGGAAGACACACCTAGGTAAAGAATGTTTCTCCACCTTACTCCAAAGAGTTTTCTTCAGCATTGTCCAGAAACCAAGCCCTCCTAGGGAATAGAAAACTTGCACAGGATTCCACAAAGCAGTTAAATGAAAATTTGTGAAGACTTCTGACAGGAACAAAGGAAGGAAAATCTGGGTATTTCCTCCAGGACAGAGATTAAAAAAAAAAAAAAAAAAAAAAAAAAGAGAGAGAGAGAAAAGGCTTAGAAAATAATTTTATTACACTAAAATATTCCCGTGACAGAAAAACACCCTAAGCAGGAGACATTGACACCCACAGACCGAACACTGACAGGCATATGTCCTGGGCAGGTGGGTGTTTAAGCAATCACAGAGAAAGCAAACACCATCTCCTTTTTTCTTCACTAACCCCTTGGTTTTCACCAAGGGGGGGTCTTGTCACAGCAAGGAGGAAACTGCAGCATGGCAAGGGGAAACAAGTGGCCTTGGTGTTGGTATTTGTGGCCTTGGTATTTGAATGGGGGAGTGCAAGGGTGGCAAGATTTGAAGCTGAGATTAGTGAGTAATTACTTTTTAACACTGACGGTCACGTCGGTGGCTGTCTCCTCTGCCTTATGCAGCAAAGACAGTGAACAATGAAGTGGAGTGGCAGACTTCCAGCTGCCAGCACAAGGGCCGCAGCCCTCCCTGCCTGCTGAAACAACACAACAACTTCCACACAGGCGCCTCCACACGCCTGTGGGCTCCTTCAGAAGCCTGGGGTTTGATGTGTTTTCTAAATTTAGAGCTGTCTCAGACAAGCCAAGAGAACACACGTAAGAATGGAAAAAAACAAGCCATGAATGTAACTCATCTCCTTTGTCTCTTATTTCCTCTTAGAAATATTCCTGAGGACTTATTTGGGGTTTTCTCCCCAGTCAATCTCTTTGAGTGGCATGGGCTGTAACAATTACCTGGTCTTAGTCTTGGATTTTATGTTTCTTTTTCATTCCACAAATAATTATAACAAAACCTCCTAAAAAAGTCCGACATGCACCCAGCCACTCCCTGTAATAAAAAATAGAATCCAATCTGTCCCCTTCCCTCACACACAGAGTTTCCCCACAAAGGCAAATTTAGCTTCAGAAGACATGAAGATTCAGACTCTTCCCCCTCTCACATCCCAGCCTTTAAAGCACACTGGGTAACATTCCTTAAAGAATGAAGCACAAAATGTCTTAAAGCCTGTTTTGTAAGGGCTGCAGCACACAGGAATGTGTGATTCATGGACTTGAAATGAAACTTAGGCTTATAAAGTTATTTCTGAAGGAAAGATGAGAAACTGAAATATAATAACAGCTTTGTGAGTACTTGTTTGATTTACACTAAAACTCCATGAAAATATTGCCCTAATATAACATGTTGTAAACAGAGAAAAAAAATAATACAAGACTTCATTAAGTAATACACAAACACAAGTAAACATCTTAATATCAGGAGGCACTTTCCCTTCCATTTGTATGAAGGTAACTAAACATTAACTTGCCACAACCCTTTTTCCTCTGAAACTGTAAAATCATTAAGAAATGACACATCAATGAACATATTTTGGTGCAGACCCAAACCTGTACTGTCATGCTAGGAGAGCAGCAAGCACTTTCAATCATTGTTATGAAAACACATGAGCCCTTTATGTTTGCAAACAATAATACAACAGTCTGTAGGGCTGTAAACCACAAGAGAATTTAAATATAATTTAGCAGTACAAAAACTTGCAGGAAAAATAACTTAAAACCGACATGGCTCTATGGGCTTCACCAAAATTGAAAATCTTGCTGCCAAATGAAGTTCTTAGCCTACACTTGTGCTTTACAATTCACAGAAGCACAAATGAAGTATGAAGGAACACATTCAGTCACCAGGAAACTTTACTTTCAAGGTTTTATTCATTGACAC